AGACATCTTTCAGTCGTCAAAGATGAGCAGCAGATGAAATGAGCCTCCCATACCTTAACGAAGCAGGTGTTCTTAAAGATCTTGTACGGGTAACCAATCAGCTTGAGCTTCTTCACTATAGTCACTGATTTATCCAGGTCCAGGATGACTCCTGTGGCGGCTATGCGGAAATTAGCCTGCAAAGAGGAAAATAGGCAGATAGGAGGCAATGCAATACTTTCCAAGAGCTCTTAATCAATAACATGTAAATCATTTAGATTTTCAATGTATGACTATACAACTACAATGTTCTCTCTTCTATTACAACCTGGATTTGTTTTCATCATTGTTACATGATGCACCTGCAGCAACAGGTTGAACTAAAACTTACTTTGGTTCCTGTTACTGACTGCACAGCCAGGAAGCCGGTGCCCTGTGGTGTGATCGGACCTTCAGTCAGACAAAGGGAGACAGAACAATGCTTGTTATCATCATGGATTTAATCCTTTTATTGCATGACCATGAGGCATTTTTGTAAAGACTTCTGATCACTTGTGGAATTAAAGAGTCATTGTACAGGAAGACATGTCGATGCTGTTACGGCCCCTGCTGGCCGCTTGGTCTGAGTAAGTGGATGGGTGTCTGACGATGTCACTGTTCTCTTCCGAGGTGATCAGCTGATCCAGCCTTTTAATTAACCTGATGGCGAGCACCTGGGCCCGGTGCATGGACGGAGTTAAAAGCGTGGCTGATCGGCGCCTCACTCTCTCTGCTCTGCTCGACTTCTCGGCCAGCGCCCGTAACTTTTGTTTGCAGCACCACAACACCACACACTACACACATTCACATGGACACCACTGATCACACTGACCAACACACCTCATACCGGTATTTTTATATTTCTTTGTTTAAATTTTTTTTTTTTTTTTTGTTTAAGTTCGCACTGCGTCTCTCCGTTTTTGTCATCGTCTTTGAGCCAGGTCATGACAATGCACATAATAACAAGCTAGACCTCAGTGAAGTCTGTATGTGAACCTCCTTGGTCAATAAATAGCCTTTTTGGGAGCATGTTTACAGAATGCCAGCAGTCTTTGGCCTACACTGACACTGTGTATGTATGCATTGGACTCTCTGCTGTTCCGTCCTGTCTTACATTCATTTCATTTTATTTCGAAAGTTCACCAACAAGGATATCATTTTCATTTAAAAACAAATCGATTACTCATCATGGCTAATATACTCCTCTCAGTCTCACCAGGGTTTCATCATTGACCAACCTAACACACCTACAGACCTCGACTTTCTGTGATGCTAATGGCTTGTCACAGAGACTTTCTCTGAGAAAACGTCTCCGTACATGTTGAAGCAGAAACATGATCACAGCATCACGACAGACTTTCAACCTTCAGCCCTCAGTGGTTGAGTCCAACATCCAACTGATGGAGACATTTGAATTAAAATAATGTTTTACTCTCATTCCAAACCTGAATCATAATATTATGTAAAGTCATTCAAAACCCTACACTGTCTAGTTAAAATACAAAAAAGCAAAACCTAATAATTGTACACAAAAAGTCATCATGCTTTCAATGAGCCTCACCCCAGATGGATGCTCCACAGTGCATGTGCTGCGGTGTGTATTTGAGCAGGCGGTGGCGTCCGTTGTGATCCTCAATGTGATAGAGAGGGATGGTCTGAAAACGCCGCCAGCCTAAGGACAGGATGAGCGGGTCCCACGTCTTCAGGATGCGTTCATACCAGCGATGTTTCTTCAGTCGCATCTGACAGAGACAAGCAGCTTTAGACATGTGCTCACTC